AAATGATGGAGTAAAAGAGCTAAACAGAAATTTTCAAAGGGAAGAATGAAATGACCACGTTTTATAATGAAATGGGCAAAACCCTAGAGTTAAAAAGTCAAAAAGGAAGAACATGCTCATCATATCATAAACTGAAAGAACTGAAGAAAAAAACCCCCAAGCCTCAAGTTAAAATATGGAACATTGAATGATGAAGAAAGCACCAATAGAAGATGGAAAGAATACACAGTCACTGTTCCAGAAAAACTATTTGAAATTCTTCCATTTCAAAAGGTAGGTAGCATATGAGCAAGAACCAATGGTACTGAAAGAAGAAGTTCAAGCTGCACTGAAGGCATTAGCCAAAAACAAAGCTTCAGGAATTGATGGAATACTAATTGAAATGTTTCAACAAGCTGATGAAGCACTGGAAGCACTTACACCAAGAAATTTGACCAACTAACTGGGAGAGAACCGTATTTTTGCCCATTCCAAAGGAAGCTGCCGCAACAAAATGTGCAAGCTATACGACATTATCATTGATCTCACATGCAAGTAAAACTTTGCTGAAGATCATCCAACACGTGTTACAGCAGTACATTAACAAGGGGCTGCCAGAAGTTCAAGCCGAATTCAGAAGAGGATGTAGGACATAGCTGATGTCAGATAGATCTTGGCTGAAAGAAGAGAGAACCAGACTTGTTTACTTGTGTTTTGTTGAAATACAAAAGCATTCAACTATGTGGATCATAAGAAACTATGGATAATCTTGAGAAGAATGGGAATTCCTGTACACTTCATTGTGCTCATGTGGAATTTGTACATGGATTAAGAGGCAGTTGTGCTAAAACAACAAACAAATTTGTCTTGGAAGAAGTACAGCCAGAAAGCACCTTAGAAGGAAAGATTGTGGGACTTCGTGTCACATATTTTGGGCATGTTATCAGGAAAGACTAATCCCTGGATTAGGCCATCACACTTTGGAAAATAGAGGGTCAGCAAAAAGAGGAAGAGCCTCAGCAAGATGGATCCACACATTGGCTGCAACAATGGGTTCAAACACAACAGTTGTGAAGATGAAGTAGGACCAGGTATGTTTCCTTCTGTTGTATATAGGGTCGCTATGAGTAGGAGACAATTCAGTGACACCCAACAACAGCAATGACATTGGGTCAAATACATAGAACATTCCAAAGACTTGTCAAAAAAAATATTGGAAGTAGATTATTGCAGATGCAATTAGGTTAAAATGTAGTACCTTCTCATTTGAGCTCCCTTATTATCAATTTAGATTTACTCTGGTTTTAATAATTTCTGCTTTCTTTTAGATTGAGGGTTTTATCTGTTTTACTTTGCTTTTATTAGTTCTTTTAAAAAAGCATTTTATTGGGGGCTCATGCAACTCTTATTACAATCCATACATGCATCCATTGTGTCAAGCATATTTGTGCATTTGTTGCCATCATCATTCTCAAAACATTTGCTTTCTACTTGAGCCCTTGGTATCAGCTCCTCATTCCCCTCCTCCCTGCCCCCCCATGAACCCTTGATAATTTATAAGTTGTTATTTTGTCATGTCTTACACTGTCCGACGTCCCCCTTCACCCACATTTCTGTTGTCCAGCCCCCAGAGAGGAGGTTATATGGAGATCCTTTTAATTGGTTCCCCCTTTCTACCCCACCTTCCCTCCACCCTCCCAGTATCGCCACTCTCACCACTGCTCCTGAGGGGTTCATCTGTCCTGGATTCCCTGTGTTTCCAGCTCTGGTCTGTACCAGTGTACACCCTCTAGTCTAGCCAGATTTGTAAGGTAAAATTGGGATCATGATAGTTGGGTTGGGGGGCGAGGGAGGAAGCATTAAAGAACTAGAGGAAAGTTGTATGTTTCATCGTTGCTACACTGCACCCTGACTGGCTCGACTCCTCCCCTCCACCCTTCTGTAAGGGGATGTCCAGTTGCCTACAGATATTTTTTGTTTGAAAATGTTTTTCTGTATATGAAATCCAGGATAGGTAAATTTATAGAGACTGATTGGATTAATGGGAGGAAATGGGCAGCCAATAACAATGAGTACAAGAATGAAGAAAATGTTTTAAGGATGATTGTAATGATAATTGTCCTACTCTTTTTGAGGTGATTGCACTATTGTATGACATGTGAATTATATACCAATAAAATTGTTAAAAAGTATTGGAACTAATTGAAATACTTAACATTCTAATTTGCTGATTGGGTCTTAAAAGCTCGTGAGTGGCCAAAAAGGTGTATCTATTGGTCTCCTCCTGTCTGCAGAAAAGATTGGTGAAAATTAAAGAAATATAGAACCAATTAGTCGTCTATAGGCTCCCTAACTGATTTGGCCTGCTTCCCCCTTTTCAGAAAAAAAAAAAAAAAGTATTCAGCCTCTCACTGGCAATTAAAAACTTTTGTAATGTAGACTGTAATGCAGGATGAAGTCCAAGTGCCTACTTTTACAGCCTTCCTGGAACAATCCATTTCCTCTCAAGGGGTGGAATTGCTCACTTTGGGAAACACTGAAGTAGTCCAATGGACTACAGGAACATTAGTCTACAAGGCCCTCACACCAGAAAAAAACTAGTATTTTCCCATGTGGGCAATACTGCCTCTTGGGGAGTGCTGCAACAATCCAGAGGGACTGTAAGAACAAATACATACACTCTATCTTGAATTATGGTCTACATTACAAAAGGTTTTAACTGCTACAAGGTGCTGAGTAATTTCTTTTCTGCAAAGTGGGCAGTAGGCCAAATAAGTTTAAGAACCCCTGAACTAGATGGTACCTAGCATAAAGTGGGAGGAAAATGTGGAACAAAACTCTAAAATAGACCGGGAATATTGGCTGTTAGAGCCTGATGGAATCCCATAAACTATGGCCCTTAGTCACCCTTGTGATCTTGAAATGAACTCACCCCTCTGAATCAACTTTCATCAAAATAGGTCTATAAGCGGACAGTGACACTTTTTCTAAGTGCACCTTAGAAGAATCAGACATTTGAGATCCAATGGGCAGAATTTACCCAAGGACAAAGACTGAAAGAATCAGCACAGAGGGATCTACGGATACAGGAAAAACACAAGGAGGAACTGCAAGAAAGGATGCTGCATTGAGGGAATGTCGATGAACTGTTGCCTGTAAAACTAATTATCTGCTCCATAAACCTTTCCCCAGTTTACATAAAAAGTTAAAAGAAAAAGAAAAGTAACTCAAACTCACTCAAGTGTACGAGTGCCAAACCAATAATACACTTAGTCAAAAACATTGGGGAAAACTTCAGAATCTTGTTTTGGGCGATAGATTTTCAGATAGGACAGTTAAGCACCAGAGCAAAATAAAGACTAGAAATTTGGACTTCATCAAAATTGAAATCTTTTGTGTATCAAGAGGCATTATTAGGGAAATGAAAAAGCAACATGCAATATGGGCAAACAATATTTGAAAACTATCTATTAGATAAGAGTTTAATGGTCTTTGAAAATGATGATGGCAAGAAATGTACAAATGTGCTTGACACAATGCATGGATATATGGATTGTGATAAGAGCAGTACGAGCCCCCAATAAAATGATTTCTAAACAAAACAAAACAAAAAAGTGTTTAATGTCCACAATGTATGATGTACTTACAATGTAAAACTCAACAGCAAAATGTCAACTCAATTAAATAGGCAAAGGATTTGAATAAATAATTGTCCATAGAAAGTAAACAGACGGCCAATGCCCACATGAAGAAATGTTTACTATTACTAACCAATAGGGAAATGCACATCAAAACCACAGTGAGATATTACTTCCCACTCATTTCTATATAGCCAATTCCAACCTGTGGCAAATCCATGTGTATCAAAATAAACAAAGTAGTGTTTCATTGGGTTCTCAATGGTAAATGTGTCATAAATTGATTACCAAATCTTTCTTTACAGGCATCTCTGGGTACTCTGAGATTTCCAGGTTTCATATAGCAGTTAAGCAAATTAACTTGTATGTATCACCAAGAGACTCTTTTATTACAAAAATGGGTCATAAGTAATTATCAAGGAGGTGGGAAAATTGGGATCAGCACCTGCTGCTGATAGGAATAGAAATTGGTGCTTCTTAAAATGTTAAATATACTAATATGTAACCCACCAATTCCACAAATATGCAAAATTGAAAGGAGAGCCTCAATATGGTATTTGTTCATAGCTATACTATTCACAATTTGGATAGAACAATTTAAATAACCATTGCCAGAAACTGGCTAAACAAAATGTGCTACATACATGCATTGGTGTGTTAGCCAGGGTTGACTAAAGAAAAAAATTCATAGACACTCTTATGTGTATAAGAAAGAGCTTTATATAAAAGAGCAGTTGTATACTGTGAAAACATCCCAGGCCAGATCAAATCCATAAGTTCGATATTAGCTCATATGTCCATACCAATCTATGAATTCCTCTTCAGACTCACACAACACATGCAATGACATCAAATGCAGGATGATCACAGATCAGTGGGTGGAAAGTCTTATGGATCCAGTGGCAGTGGAAGCATCTCAGCACTGGCAGGAGTCTCCACGTGGTTCCTCCAGCTCCAGGGCTCCAAGCGTAGCTCCATGTGTCTTGTCGGCAGGAAGACGAAGCAGAGAGGCTATGTGTATCTGGCCTCCAGTGAGCTACTGATCTCTGTGGCACCTCCAAATGAGGTCATCAAGCTGCGACCTGATTGACAGGCTAGACTCTGCCCCTTCGAAAGTTGACACCAGATTATGTAACTACCACAATTGGAATAATACGCAGACATAAAGAGAAGTGAAGTTTTAATACGTGCTACATATGGACATGAATAAACCTCAGAAACATGCTAAGTTTTAATAGCCAGATACAACAGGTTAAATATTGTGTATCAGGGGAGCATGGGGAGTTTTCCCTTTAAGAAAGAAAGTGGTCTCTACTTCTGGAGGCCAGCATAAGACATAGTCTGCCTTTCTTTTTGGATAACCATATCTGTGTCACCTTTCAGACTTGAGAAAGAGCAGTTACTTGCAGAGGAAGAGGATGAAGATTTGAAGGAAGTAACCGATTTGAGGAAAATAGCTGCTCAGTTATTGCATCAAGAGCAGAAGAACAGGTATTCTTTTCAGTAATGAGCTTTTACATAGACAAATTGTATAATTCTTAAATTCAATGATTTAAAGATTGTCAAATCTATGAAAGTAAATTATAGGGGCCTTTTAAGACCTACTTCACGGGAAATCAACTGATAATAAGGAATACTTGGAAGGGAAATGTAAAGCTATCTACATTTAACTAAATTTTATAAACATATAGTCTTCATATTTGATATTGCCTAAGAATCTCTGTTGTATTTCTGCGTATTCATTATGCATCTGATTTCTGACATTCTCTAGTTCTGTAGCAATAGATAAATTTTAAATCGTTTTTCCCCTAAGTACTTATCATCTGTATAGTGTGCTTTTTTGGGTTAGATTCCAAATTACTTGGGTTATTTGTGACCATCTAAGCGTCCATTTGAATTTCATACTGTTTGGTTACATCGGTGTATTCATTGGCCAGGCTCACTTTGTTCTATTTCTCATTCAGAGAGCATTTCTCCCTCTGGCTAGACTTTCTCCAAGTGTACACTAATGACCATGAGAAAGACTGTGTGTGAATAAGTCAACGTTGCAAATCCATCCACAGTAAAGTAAAAGTTCTATGTGCTGCTGAGGGTGGGATGTTATTGGCATCTTCGTGTACTAGTATATTCTAGTTTTAAATAATGAATACGTAATATTTGGAGGAGAAAAGAATAATCACGGTACATTTATTGAATATTGTATTTCACTTGTTCAGAACTCCAAATACTAATTGATCATATGAGTACATTTTAGAAAGTTTAAAGTTTAAGGATATTGCAAGTTTTAAAAATACCTTTTAAAATAATTACTATTAAAAATTAATGAATGATAAAAAATGTGGTTTTTAGGGAAATATGGACAATGGCTATTATTAGATAGCCCTTTAGTATCTTTTTTGGCATCGATTCTAGAGTATAACATTAAAAAACTATAGTATAAATTAGCTTTATCCTTTGTGTATGTACATCTTTCTCCTGCACTGTGGCTGGTGGGCTTGAACCACAGACGTTTCAGTTTTTAACCCAAAGTTTTACTGACTGCTCCATCAGGGCTTCTCATATCTAATGTCTACTTGCCCCCAGTTCCCATCTTTCTTTGCGCATAACTTTCTGTCACCTCATTTACTATTTGTCTTCCAGTGTTTTCTGATGACTTATTCCTGATGAGCCTGATGGCTATTTCCGAGACTCTGTGTATTTTTACCCTAGCAGTTTAATTGACGTGTTGATAGACCCGTGGTTTCATAGGTTTGATGAAGCAAGCCACCACCTGCTGTAAAAGTTGCTTAAAAAGTAGTTTCTATTTCCTCTCCTGTGCAGGTGAAGAGATTGCATTTATCCTTTCAAACTGAGAATACTAATTTTATAAGAACTTTTAGTGACAAAAGAGGCAAGATTCTCTAAGTGTTAGAAGTATGTAACACTGCCCAGTAACCATTTTTTCTTGTACTAAAATGGCAATTGAGGACATAAATACATAAATACATGTTTTAATATTGTCATATACATGTGGTGACTTCCAAAAGTTGGTTGAATGATTCTATTATCTTTCCATTCTGTTTTTCCACGAACACTTTAAACCCCATTGTATAAGTTTTATAATCAGTACGCAATAGCAATTAGCACGGTGTCCTGTATATACTAAAAATATCAAACTGAATTCACTACCATTGAGTTGATTCTGATTCAGAGCAACTTTGTAGGTCAGGGTAGAACTGCTTCTGTGGATTTCCAAGACAGTAACTCTTTACAGCAGTAGAAAGCCTCCTCTTTCTCCCATGGAGTAGCTGGTGGTTTTGAACGGCAGCCTTGTGGATCGTAGACAAATGAGTAACCACTTTGCCACCAGGGTTTCCTTGTATATAATAGATACTCGGTATTACTGTTACACTCAGTATTACTGTTAGTTCCGAGAAGGACATCGTGTCTGGTAAGATAGGAGAAATAAAAAATAAAACCTCACTGTCACTGAGTCGGTTCTAACTCATAGTGACCCTATATAGGACAGAGTAGAACTGCCCCTGTGGATTTCCCAGGCTGTAACTCTTTAGGGGAGCAGAACGCCTCATCTTTCTTCCACGGAGTAGCTGGTGGTTTTGAACTGGTTAGCAGCCCCACTTGTTACTCACTATGTCAGAAGTTCAGTGCAAAAGAAGCCCCTTAACGAAATGGATTAGCCCAGTGGCTGCAACCATGGGCTCAAACATCAAAAACAAAACAAAACAGAAAACAGTTGCGAGGGTTGCACAGGACGGGGTAGTGGTTCATTCTAGTTCACAGAGGGTAGCTACCAGCTGGAGCCAACTAGACGACAACTAACAACAGGACTGATATTGGCTGGTTGCTTTCTTTGAACTGTTCATTTAACTAAACATTAGTTTTCCTAAGTAACATACATTTAGAAGAGTATTTCCTACGTGTCTCTGGTATTTCTCATCTTCATCCTTTTCAGATGTTGCTCTTAGCTGCCATCAAGTCAACCTCGACACATGGCAATCCCTTGCATGTAGTAGAAATAAGCTCTTTAGAGCCTTTATTGCTTGGTGTTTTGGAAGTGGATTGTCAAAATGTTCGTCTGATGGGGCTCTGGGATGACTTGAACTGCCAGCCTTCTAGTTAGTAGCCTACAGAAACCCACCTTCACTCAGTAGATTTCAAAAATAATGGAAGCACCCTCCCACGTGCGAAGTGGTCAAACAGAGACATGCCCCCTTAGTGCTCCCTGCAGCCCAGGAGGTTGGAAGTCCCACCTGTTGCCTTTGTGCTCTGTGCTAGGTGCACTGGTGGCACAGTGGAGCACTGACGACACTGGTGGCTAAGTTTTGGACTGTTGGCCACAGGATCAGTAGTTCAAATCCACCAGTTATTCCGTGGGCAAAAGATGAAGCTGTCTGCTTCCATAAAGATATATATCCGAATTCTACCTTGCAAGTCTGGCTGGACCAGAGGATGTACATTGGTACAGATAGGAACTGGAAACACAGGGAATCCAGGGCGGATGATCCCTTCAGGACCAGTGGTGTGAGTGGCGATACTGGGAGGTTAGAGGGAGCGTGGGTTGGAAAGAGGGAACCTATTATAAGGAACTATATGTGACCCCCCTCCCTGGGGAACGGACAACAGAAAAGTGGGTGAAGGGAGACGTCGAACAAGGCAAGATATGACAAAATAATAATTTATAAATTATCAAGGGCTCATGTGGGAGGGGCGAGGGAGGGGACAAATGAGGACCGAATGCCGGGGGCTTATGTGGAGAGGAAATGTTTTGAGAATGATGAGGGCAATGAATGTACAAATGCGCTTTACACAATTGATGTATCTATGGATTGTGATAAGAGTTGTATGAGCCCCTAATAAAATGATTTAAAAAATAAAAGCTGAAAAAAAAAATATATCCGTGGAAACCTTCACTAAAGTCCCTATAAATCAGAATTGACTTTATGGTACTGTGGGGTTTTTTTTGGTGAGGGGGTGGGAGGTGGCGTGTTTATGACTTTGTTTCTGCTTTCACATTTTTTTTAAATTCCCGCTTTCTTCATGACGGATCAGATATTTTACTTAAACTAACAGGCCTATTGGGAGTTGTAACATTTCTCTTTAGGCTTCCACATAATCATTGGTTTTTGGTTCTGGTTATGATTACTCTTTCATACCTTGACTGTGTATGGCCAAACTGTGTTTTAGCTAGCTATTAGTTTAATAAGGTCAGCTCTCTGCTGAAGCAAGCTATGTGTGTACTCAAAAGTGAAAAACCACTTACATGGAATTCAACAATCATTTGCTTATGACAACTTTGCCACTTGTTAGAAGAAAAAAAATTACAAAAATTATTGTAAGGTTATTACTAACTTTTTATGAATGCAACTGCCCTAGGAAAGTAACAAGAGGACTTCAACAAAGAATTAAACACAATAAAGGAGTGAGAAGTGAGCAGCAAAGAAACCGTCAAGCAGATCATTCCCCAGCTCACTCTTCCCCTACCCAATCCTGGAAAATAAAAGTGGTAAACACTTTTCAAACTGTGCCCCACTCCCCCAACGCCGCAGGAATTTTGTAAGTGTACTATGCCAGGTTTATTTACCACATGGCGCATCGCACACTTAGGAAAATACTTTGTGCAGTGTGCATGATTTTAAAAAAGATATAACTCTCTCATTTTTACATAAAAATATGTGTTCAAAGTCTGAAGTCTGCCCCCTCCACTAATTGAGTTGCATACATTAAACTCTTATATTAACAGTTTATTCGTAAAGTTTTATAAACTATCCTTACTTTGGCTGAAAATTGGAATATTTTTTCTACTTGTTTGAGTATATTGAAGTCCCTCAATAGATTACTTTAAATAGATGAAAATAGTGATTGTGGAAGTTTTAATTTTACCTTCACTATAATTTTTGTTATTAAAAATATCATTTGCCCTACCTCAAAACTACCTGAAGCTCTTTGGAGTTAGGACTGAAATTCCCTAATGGGGGAGAAAGCAAATGGTGGCCACCCCTGACTGTGGAAATGGTCCTTATATTTAGTATTTCAATGCCTCTTGTGCATTAATATAACAGGCATCTGCCTAGACAAGGATCTGCCCTCGTAAAGGAGATTACAGGAAATTTTCCCTGAGCACTAATCCCATGTTCAATGTAAATATAGCTCAATTATTTAAGAATTCAATCTGTACAAAACAACTCATGGATTTCAGTTCGCAGCTGGGCTACACTCGCAAAAAAATCCATTATCCAATCTATGCAATTGGGTAAATTATTGATGTCATCAATACAATCGCCTTATATCCCAGGGTGATCATTGACGTTTTCCTTTTTTGTTTTATGGATGTATTTGTTGTTGTTGAGCTTATTTTGTGTGTGTGTCATAAGATGGTAATATGACTGCTATAATAAACTAGAGTTGTTATTAACCTGTAGATTCAGGGCTCACACATTATTCTAGGCCTAATCCAAGAACCATTAGTTCTTATAGCATGGCCTTGTTTAATA